TCTCTTTTTTTTTACTTATTATTTACTCCAAAACCAGATTTATATTGTGCAAGTTCCATCTTTTAAGAGCTCATCTTGCTCTTTGGTTTCCATTTTGCATTCTTATGTTATCATGTCACTCATTCTTTTGTCTGTTGCACTGGGACTTTTCTGGTTTTTTTTTTTGTTTTTTTTTGAGACAGAGTCTCCGCTTTTGCCCAGCCTAGAGTGAGTGCCGTGGCATCAGCCTAGCTCACAGCAACCTCAAACTCCTGGCTCAAGCAATCCTACTGCCTCAGCCTCCGAGTAGCTGGGACTATAGGCATGCGCACCATGCCGGGCTAATTTTTTCTATATATATTAGTTGGCCATATTAGTTAATTCTATTTATTAGTAGAACCGAGGGTGTTGCTCTTGCTCAGGCTGGTTTCGAACTTCTGACCTTGAGCAATCGTGCCCCTCGGGCCTCCAGAGTGCTAGATTAAGGCCACACGCCGCAGCTGCACGTGGGACTTTCAGTTGGTTTTGGGTCAGAATGATTATGTGATGTGCAGGTAATACAGTGAGAGTGTATGTAAGCCCATATAATATATATAGTTATATAATATATATAATATTATGGGGAAGATGAGGAAAATTTCACTGATGTGGACACAATTTTCGTTGCAAATGTCTTTCTGGGTGTACTGTAGCAGTGCTACAGCAGTTAAACTGAGGTCACAGCTGGCCTAGGTTGGGACGAAACAGACCTGTATAGGCCAAACAGCTGAGTTTATATAATCAACCACTCACAATGGACTGGAATGGCCTTCTGAATGTTTTTATAATTCAAAAAATGCGAATAACTCCCCACAATCTCCACTTAATTTAAGATTATTTGAACGAATGTGTTAAAGCTGAGAAGAATGCTATTTATTAGTCCTTATAGCTTTTTCCTCTAGATCATTCAGTAGACTGTTTTAGCTTTTTTTTTTTTTTTGAGACACAGTCTCACTTTGTTGCCAGGCTAGAGTGAGTGCCATGGTGTCAGCCTATCACAGCACTTAACTGCTGGACTCAAGCAATCTACTGCCTCAGCCTCCGAGTAGCTGGGATATAGGCATGCACACCATGCCGGGCAATTTTTTCTATTATATTAGTTGGCAATTAATTTCTTTCTATTTTAGTTAAGACTAAAAATAGAAAGGGTCTCGTCTTGCTCAGGGTGGTTTCAACTCCTGACCTGGAGCAGTCCGCCTGCCTGGCCTTCAGGTGCGAGGATTACAGGCGTGAGCACACGCCCGGCCATGTTTAGCTTTAAAAATTTTTTTTTGAAATAGAGTCTCACTTTGTTGCCAGGCTAGAGTGATGCTGTGGCAATCGCTACTCACAAACAACTACCGAGTCCGTGCATAGCTGAGGAAATGTGCGCATGGGGGGGAGTTGGCCAATTAATTTCTTTCTATTTATAGTAGAGACGGGGTCTTGCTCTTGCTCAGGCTGGTTTTGAACTCCTGACCTCGAGCAATCTACCCGCCTCGGCCTCCCAGAGTGCTAGTATTACAGGCGTGAGCCACCTCGCCCAGCCCACTGGGTAAATTTTGATGTAGACTGTGCTTCTTAACGATTGTATGTGGCAGGCATTCAGTTATTACAGATAATTGATAGCTAAAGACTGAAGCACTGGAAAGCTGTAGAGTATGTGGAAGTTTTGCTGCTTGATAAAATGAAAAGATGAAAACAGGGAGGCTGAATGGTGTAAAGAGCTGTGATTTTGAGATCAGGGCACTTGGGTTCTAAATAGGCTGTGGTATTAGTTTTGTAACCATAGATGAATCACTTGAAATATCGGGGTCAAGCGGTTTGAAACTTTAGCTAGTACGTATTAAAGTACTTAAATGTAGTTCACAATATATATTTACAAAATAGGCTGGGGACCATGGCTCTTGCCTATAATCCTAGCATTCTGGGAGGCTGGGGCAGGAGGATAGCTTGAGGCCAGGAGTTCGAGACCAGCCTGAGCAAAAGCAAGATACCACTTCTGGAAAAAAATAGAAAAATTAGCTGTGCATGGTGGTTCTCGCCTGTAGTCCCAGCTACTCAGGAGTCCAAGGTAGAAGGATCACTTGAGGCTGGGAGTTAGAGGTTTATCTATATATAAAAGTAGATTTGTTCGCTGATAATCGAGAAACCTGGATTGTGCCTAATATGCGATTATTCTAGTGATGAATATTCTAAGTAGTTTAGTATCCGTTGTTAGTAAAAATGGGTCTGAGATTCCTTTAATTACTTCAAAAATAGCATTCTATTAAAACTCTTTGAGAAAATATGTCTAGGATTGTGTTTTGTGAAAGCAACAGAATTCTATTTGTGACATTATAACTTAAATGTATGTGAAGTGTTCTAATCTTAGCAGTATAGCAAATGCATGGAATGTTTTTCCTGTGCAGAATATTTGGAATAGATTTTTTGTGAATGGTGGCCATATACTCATAGTTCCACTGAATATTTTAGTAGTTCAGAGTGTGGGAATCTTTGGACATTGAACTAAGTTTGAATAGTCAGATCCCTGTTTCTGGGTACTCTGAAAATATTGGTATATATGTGTGTGTGTACATGTGTATGTGCTGCTTATTGATAATCTGATACTTGGTCAACTTGGAGAACAACTGATTTATAGTTTGACATTGCCAGTATTAATGAAGGAACATGGAGTGGCCACAAAAATAAAAAAAACATGTAAATGTATTCTCAATGTAAACTCAGAATCTAGAAGAGGCCATCTTCATGTAGAAGGGTTACATAGGCCGGGCGTGTGGCTCACACCTGTAATCCTAGCACTCTGGGAGGCTGAGGCGGGCGGATTGCTCGACGTCAGGAGTTCAAAACCAGCCTGAGCAAGAGCGAGACCCCGTCTCTACTATAAACACAAAGAAATTAATTGGCCAACTGATATATATAGAAAAAAATTAGCCGGGCATGGTGGTGCATGCCTGTAGTCCCAGCTACTTGGGAGGCTGAGGCAGTAGGATTGCTTGAGCCCAGGACATTGAGGTTGCTGTGAGGTAGGCTGACGCCACAGCACTCACTGTAGCCTGGGCAACAAAGCGAGACTCTGTCTCAAAAACAGAAAACAAGAAGAGTTACATAATTTCTGTATTTGTGTAGAAGAATCTCAAAATTAATATCAAGTTTGGCTCTCTCTAACCATTTTGTGGTATATTCAATAGCTTATGGAAGTGACCGGGAAAAATCAAGATGAATGCATAGTGGCCTTACATGACTGTAATGGAGATGTGAATAAAGCTATCAATATATTGCTGGAAGGAAATTCAGATACAGTAAGTATTATTAATTGATTTGCATTGCCAGATATGTCTGTTTCATATTGATCTTGGTTGGGTGGTAGGATGATGGGGATTATGGGTCCCATCCATATTTGTCTTAAGTTCTAGAAAGAACACTAACATGACATGACTGTTTTTGTTATGTATGGTTTCTTAATGAAGTCACAGAATTGGAAGACTTAAAAGAGAATTTGGTGATCTACTCCAGTCTTATGCAGTTTCCAAAGTTCTCTAGGTTTGTGGATATTTTCAGCACTTGAAAAAAACATCTTTTTGCTCTACTGCTCATGTTTCTTTTTCTTTTTTTTTGTTTTTGAGACAGAGTCTCGCTTTGTTGTCCTGGCTAGAGTGAGTGCCGTGGCGTCAGCCTAGCTCACGGCCATCTCAAACTCCTGGGCTCAAGCAATCCTTCTGCCTCAGCCTCCCGAGTAGCTGGGACTACAGGCATGTGCCACCATGGCCGGCTAATTTTTTCTATATATATTAGTTGTCCAATTAATTTCTTTCTATTTATAGTAGAGGCAGGGTCTTGCTCGACAGAGTCTCGCTTTGTTGCCCAGCCTAGAGTGAGTGCCGTGGCATCAGCCTAGCTCACAGCAACCTCAAACTCCTGGGCTCAAGCAATCCTACTGCCTCAGCCTCCCGAGTAGCTGGGACTATAGGCATGCGCCACCATGCCGGGCTAATTTTTTCTATATATATTAGTTGGCCAATTTATTAGTTAATTTCTATTTATAGTAGAGACGAGGTGTTGCTCTTGCTCAGGCTGGTTTCGAACTTCTGACCTTGAGCAATCTGCCCCCCTCGGCCTCCCAGAGTGCTAGGATTAAGCCACCAGCCCAGCCTGCACTGGACTTTTCAGTTGGTTTTGGGGTCAGGAAATGTTATGTGATGTGCAGGTAATACAGTGAGAGTGTATGTAAGCCCATTATATATACTACGTATATGTATATATTATATTG